ACCCATCTCCGCCCCCTGATCCCTAATCCTACCCATCTCCGCCCCCTATCCCTAACCCCACCCCTAATACTATCCATCTCCGCCCCCAATCCCTAACCCCACCCCTAATCCTACCCATCTCGCCCCCTGATCCCTAATCCTACCCATCTCCGCCCCCTATCCCTAACCCCACCCCTAATCCTACCCATCTCCGCCCCCTGATCCCTAATCCTACCCATCTCCGCCCCCTATCCCTAACCCCACCCCTAATACTATCCATCTCCGCCCCCAATCCCTAACCCCACCCCTAATCCTACCCATCTCCGCCCCCTAACCCCACCCCTAATCCTACCCATCTCTGCCCCCTAACCCCACCCCTAATCCTACCCATCTCTACCCCCCCGATCCCTAACCCCTCCCCTAATCCTACCCATCTCTGCCCCTTAGATCTGGATCCAACTCCGCCCCCTGGATCTTGTGTACTGCAATGAGGTGCTACTGGTATTTTCCTTTTTGAAGTGATTCCAATCATTTTTAAATTAATTCATAACCATCCTGTTGAACAGTGCGCATCTGAAGTGTCTCAGCTTTTATTGGCTTTGACCAAATTTCCTTATTGGGCCGATAACATTAAAAATGAACATATATCGGCCAATACCGATATATCGTGCATCCCTAGTTTTAAGTCTTTACCTGTGTGGCTGTAGGTTGTTTATTGGTTGTCAGGGTGTTGAAGAATGAAAGTTATCATTGCCCAAATGCATCTAGATTTTGATGTAAACATGCAAAAATGGTTTCATATTGTCAATTTCACCTTGTCTGTTTCTCAAACGATTTACCTTTGATCTTGACGGATATTAATACGAGGCTCAGCGACCGATGTGTAATCCCCTCAAAATATCCAGCGTTAGTCAGGGACACCAGATTTTCCCAGGGAATCGAGTCACATCAAACGTGCCTTTTCAAAGAAATGCAAATGGCGTGTGTGAAACAAGACAATGTTCTGAGGAAGCCATCGGTCTCGGCCCGGTATCACTTCCTAATGACTGTGGCCCGTTAGATTGAGCCAGGATTAGGCCTTAGAAAAAGCAGTGACACATTTTAAGATATGCCATTGCAAGTTTCTTAAAATTCGAACAGCGCAAACATTACTGGTAATTTACTGACCCCTGAAGTTTTTTTTGTGGTAAACGCTCCAGTATTTTCTCCGTATAGTGACTTCAATGGGGTCCAACAAGTCCAAATGTGAGTTTCAGTGCAGCTTCAAAGTCTCGACACGATCCAGCCGAGGAATCTGATCTAGACAAACCAGCGGCCATTTTATTAAAAAAAAACAAACAAACATTTTAACCATAAACGTACGTCCACGACTTAACGCATTACATAATCATATTGGAAGCGTCACGTAGTGAAGGGCGAAAAACCTTTTTTATTTATTTTGTAAATGGCGTTTGACTTAGTCGTTTTGTAAACACTAGGTCGATTTTTGCACCTACGTCCCGCTTGACCTTTCAACGTGATTATGTAATGTGTGATGCATCACAACTAGTGCAAGACCAGCATTTGTGGTTATAAAGTATATAAATATTTATGTTTTTTTTTTTTATAAAATGGCCTCTGGTTTGTCTTGATCAGACTCTTATTCCTCGGCTGGGATCGTGTCGGGACTTTGAAGCTGCACTGAAACTCACATTTAGACCCTTTTGGACCCCATTGAAAATCCTGGAATATTTTCATCAAAAACCTTCATTTATTTTCGACTGAAGAAAGAAAGACATGGACATCTTGGATGACGTGAGGGAGAGTAAATTATCAGGAAAGTTTAAATCTGAAGTGAACTAATCCTTAAAAGCAGCCTCTGTGAAACCAGGCGTTTGGGTTTTAATTAGAAACAATTAATCGCATTGACTCAGAGTTGAAGACATTGTGCAACACGTCCCCAGGGAACGCTCATTTTAAGAAGGGGAAATTGTCCTGTCAGGCCTGTGCAAAACTTAGGAAGTCCATTGTTTTGTTAAAGCCTCTAAAGTGTAGCGTTCGCCGTGTGAGAACGGAAATGCACGGATGCCGTATTCGGATTGTTTAGTTGTAGAAAAAAAATTGTGAATGACCAGCAGATTCATATGTTTGCAGGAAACGTGCACAAAGTCTTGCATTTTTGATGAGAGAAGTTGGGAAGATTTGTTTCCTCAATGTCCCGATGCAAAACCTTCATGAATGTTTAACGATTCACACACTCTATCAGTAAAAAGTACGATTTTTTAAAAATGTTTTTAAAAGAAGTCTCTTCTGCTCACTATTCATATGATTAAAAATAAAAACAGTAATATTGTTAAATATGACAATTTAAATGTTTTCTATTTTAATATAGTGTAAAATGTAATTTATTCCTGTGATCAAAGCTGATTTTAAGCATCATTACTCCAGTCTTCGGTGTCACATGATCATTCAGAAATCACTCTCTAATATAACATGATGCTCAAGAAAAAATATATTATTATTATCAATGTTGAAAACATTTTTTTTCAAGATTTTTTTTCAAGAAAGTTCAAAAGAACAGCATTTATCTGAATTATTATAATCTTTTGTTACATTATAAATGTCTTTACTGTCACTTTTGATCAATTAAATTCATCCTTGATGGTGGTGTTTAATTTTACAAAAGCTTTCAATTTTAGATAAATGCTGTTCTTTTGAACTTTATAGTCAAGGAATACTGTAAAAAATAATATAAATAACTGTTTTCAACATTGATAATAATAATAATAAATGTTTCTTGAGCAAATCATCATATTAGAGTGATTTCTGAAGGATCATATGACACTGAAGACTGGAGAAATGATGCTTTGATCACAGGAATAAATTAGATTTTACAATATATTCACATAGAAAACAGACGATTTACATTGTAATAATAATTCACAATATTACTGTAGTAATCAAATAAATGCGGCCTAGGTGAGCATAAGAGACTTAAAACATTAAAAAAAAATTCCGATCGCAAACATTGGACTGGTAGTGTGTGTGTGTCTCGCCGTTTTGAAGAGAAAAGTTGGTTTGGTTGTTTTCTCAATGTCCCGAAGCGAGACCTTCACATCGCGTGAATGTTTAACGTTTCATATACAAGAATATGGTTTGGGTTCCTCCTATTAGATCGTGTTTGATTTCAACATTTAGCATGTTTTGACTTCAACGTGGGAGTCGTTCCAGCCGAGACACTCAAGATAAACATCTCTTTGGATCCCAGTTTGGATGCATGACTGTTGTTTGGAAGAATGTTAAACCAGACTGACCTCATGAAGTAGCGCGTGTATGACACGCCAATTCGTATTTCCATTTTTGGCGTGCTATCAAGACGCATAATCACTTTTCAGCGTGTTTATGAACGCCGTTGACTTAACGTTTTATAAATATATGACTTACCTCAACCCCGTCCCTGAACCTAACCGTCACTGGGGTTAATGGCATTTATGACTGGACATTTGACTGCGTGTACAGACACGCGGAATGACGCGGACGTTAATGGCGTAGACATATACGCGGATAGCTCAAAATGCGTAGAGATAACACGCCACTTGACTCGAAAGTGGCGTGTATGTTTATGCCAAAGTCATGATGTCATGTTGGCTAAACCGCTTGTTTGGAAATCTCATTTTGAATGGCCTCTTTCAGTGCAACCTGACATCATGACCTTTGCGTAAACTTACACGCCAATTTCGAGTCAAGTGGCGTGTTATCTCGACGCATTTTGAGCTATCCGCGTGTATGCGTGTATGTCTACTAGGGCTGGGTATTGAGACAAATTTCACAATTCGATTCGATTTCGATTCACAAGCTTGCAATTCGATTCGATTTCGATTCAATATGGATATCAGTTACAATAAATGGCAATTTTTCTCAAGGGAATCAAATCTCTTAAATGCTGTAAACTATGGTCTATAAATATAGTCTAGTTGTAGCCTACTAGGCCTCATTAGCCTAATACGAAGGTAATAATTAATAATTAATTTTTGTAGCTATACAAACACTTAAATTACACTTTTATTTATTTTTATAATAAGAAGATTATATGAAATATAAATCTGGATAAAAACTTGCCAGATTTATTCAAATATGCATTAAATATTGAGGAACACTAACGAGTGTGGACTAACGAGTTTATGTGCGTTTTCTTAGGTAAATATGACGATACATGACATTTATTACAAGCTGTTTGACGTCTTTCCACGGTTGAAACGCAGATTGAGCGAATCAATGTGACATGATACGGATTTCGATAAGTTGTACTCGATCTTTAACACACTTTCAGATGCTCATTCATGTTTATTTGGCGCTGTGACTGGTATTATTAACCCGGATCAGCTGCTTCTCTTGAGCGATCTCACGCCACAGCGCCAAAACGCTATTTATGTTTTTGAATTTCTAAAGACAATGTACGTAATTTGAAAATTGAGACTTTGTTTCATATCAATAGTAACAAAGGACAAAGATTATTGCGATTTGTTAGATGCGCGCAGCCGCGATACAATGTCTCATTCATTCAAATGAAACAGGATGACTAATCGATTCTTGAGATTTAAGAATCGATATCGGTTCGTAAAAATGAGAATCGATTCATATCGAGAAATCAATATTTATTACCCAGCCCTAATGTCTACGCCATTAACGTCCGCGTCATTCCGCCGTCAAATGTCCGAGCGAAACAAAGCAAAATGTACATCTACATCTGGGGAGCGATCTTTTTTTTTCCTAGGATGGTAAGGGAACAGTCATAAATGCCATTAACCCCAGTGACGGTTAGGTTTAGGGACGGGGTTGAGGTAAGTCATATTTTTATATAACGTTAAGTCAACGGCGTCCATAAACACGCTGAAAAGCGATTATGCGTCTTGATAGCACGCCAAAAATGGAAATACGAATTGGCGTGTCATACACACGCTACTTCATGAGATCAGTCTGTTCAGTGTAATAGCTTTTAGTGCAGAAAAAACCTTGACTCTTTGTTTGTGTCTCATCCGTAGACATCATGGACTCGTTCAGCACGAAGAACCTGGCCCTTCAGGCCCAGAAGAAGCTCATGAGCAAGATGGCGACCAAAACGATGGCCAACCTGTTCATAGACGACACCAGCAGCGAGGTACTGGACGAGCTGTACCGGGTGACCAAAGAGTACACGCGAAACCGCAAGGAGGCCCAGAAGATCATCAAGAACCTCATTAAGATGGTGGTCAAGCTGGGCGTCCTCTACCGCAACGGCCAGTTCAACAACGAGGAGCTCGCGCTGGTCGAGCGCTTCCGGAAGAAAGTGCACACGCTCGCGATGACGACCGTTAGCTTCTACCAGATCGACTTCACCTTCGACCGGCGCGTCATGAGCAGCTTACTCAACGACTGCCGCGAACTTCTCCACCAGGCCATTAACCGGCACCTGACGGCCAAATCCCACGGGCGGATCAACCACGTCTTCAATCACTTCTCCGACTGCGACTTTCTCGCGACGTTGTACGGACCTTCGGAAGTGTATCACGGCCACTTGCAGAAGATCTGCGAAGGAGTCAACAAGATGCTGGACGACGGGAATCTTTGATGACCGAACCATCCGAACGTTTTCTTCAAACGGGAAGATCGTAGTCGCGAATCGGACGCTAAATGAATGTAGGACACGTAAGTTTGAACTTTTTTTTTTTTTGGGACGCGAGGAGTTTACAACGCGAACTCAACGCAAATCTCGCTCCAGGGTTGAACTCGGATTCACTGTCAGAGGAAATCAAGGGCTATTTACAAACCTTCTGATTGGAAATGTTCATTTCAAGCACTGCAAACACAAAACGCACTGGGGGAAGCGTATGAAACGTTTCATCTCTAATTTTAGGAAATGAGCCTGAAGCGCTAGCCTCTCGCTTCCCCTAAATACACACGCTAAAACCCTAAAAGGACTGTTTTGTCTTTGCTTGTCCTGAGCTGTTTGTAAACGATCACCCCTGTGATTTCCAAACTTGGTCATATATGCGTGTTTACGTTCATCTTGTTTGTTTTTCACTCCACACCGCCCCCTGCTGACGGGGGGCCTTTACCATGATGCAGTTTCTTACCGAGGAACGAAGAAATTGTGTTGGGACGTCACTGTATTACATGTTTTCAGCATGTTTATTTGCTGTTTTAATGAAGGTTTTATACATATAAATACATGCCGGAGCCGTTATTTTCCTTTTACATGTCACTTTTTGATTGTTTTTAATTTATATGAACACTTAAATCAACAATTTAAAGCCTTAACGTCCCTGCCGTCAACGAGCTCAAAGCAGTTTTGACCGATCAAAGGAATACTTTGGGTATTATATACAAGTTAAGCCCTTGTGGTTTCCACAACAAAACGGTAAAAGCTACCGAAAAATGTGCATTTATAAGTCTGTGAGGCAACTGTGCACTTGTCCCATAGACCGGCATTGTAAGTGCCCACGTTTTTATGTTAAAATTCCAATTTTGTTTCCTTACTAAATATCCTATGCTCAAAGAATCACAAATTGAGTTATTTGGATCATTTTGGGATACTTGTTTAATGTGTTCTTGGCCTTTATCTATGCACTTATTGTTCTTTGTTAATCAATAACAGAGGGTCGTTTGAATTTGTCAACTAGATTTTTAAGTAAAGCTCAAGCTTACGAATAAAGTATCTCATATCCGAAGGGGAAAGAAGTGAATTTTCCGAGCAGGTCCTCAGACTTTGGCAGCGGTGAAAGCCATACCTCCTGATCCTGATCACCCTCAAACCTCTCAGGGCTCTTATTCGTGCCGTTTTGGCCAATTTATACCGATTAAAGACTGCATGCCTTGTTTTTCGTTTTGCAGATGTCACCTGAGCATTACAAGACTGTCTTTCACATTTACAGCAAAGTACAATTTTAAAGGTTATTTGTTTTAGTCACAAACAAGTTCTTTTCATGTAGTACATGTACATTTTTTTTCTTTGTTTTTTAGAAATTATGCATATAAATACAGTATTTGTGTGTGTGTGTGTCTGTGTGTATATATATAAATATATCATTCTTAAGAGGCACGTGTGTCTTTAATGAGAACTGCAGAACAATCTAGCAAAAGAGTGCAAGTAGAATCAGCATGTTTGCCCTGGATTACAGAACGTTAATCATTTTCAGGCACGCTAGTGCCCTTTTTTTCCTTCTTTTCTCTAGAAAACCAAATCTGAACTTGTTCATTCCTCTCACATGGACTGAGCAGCAAGACTGCAGACTTTAGCATTAACATAATCCAACCCATTGTGATGTATTTGGGTGGGGGTTTATGATTATTATTGATTGGATTGTGGAAAGTGTGTTTCATACCAGCATGGATCTGCTCTGTACGACCGGTGGTTGGATGAGGGTTTTAGTGACGTAAGCCAAAAAGGACAGTCGTTCCAGATGCATAATTACATTTTAGATGAAAGATTAACAAACTTTTTGTTTTGTTTTTTTGTTGGAAGAACATGCACTGATGAATCTTTCACAGTAAGACCAGGAATATTTATTAATGAAGTCATTTTTTACTTCATTTTCACAAAAATTCTGAACTGATGTGTCTATATATGGATATAGACCCCCCCACACACACACACACACCGTGTATGTTTATATATGTATACTTATGTTTTATATGTAAACATGTATGTATGTATGTATATATATATATATAATGTGTATAGGCACACATTTATTTGTCTATATATCTTTATATATATATGTGTGTGTGTGTGTGTGTGTGTCTTATGTCTATACATGCATATATATAATGTGTGTGTGTGTGTGTGTATAGGCACACGTATTTGTCTATATATGTTTATATATATATATATATATATACCCGTGTCTTATATCTATACATGCATATATATATATATATATATATAATGTGTGTGTGCATATATACATACATGTATATAGACACACGTGTCTATATATGTATATGCAGGCTATATGTCTATATTTTATATATATATACACATGTCTGTCTACTTATGTCTATATAAATTACATAGACATACATGGAAATATACAATGTATACGTGTATAATAGACATGTACATATTTATACACACACACACACATATGCAGTGTACAGTATATGGAAAACACCAGTGGTATCAGTGTGAAATGATAATCCCAGTTCTCCCTGAGGTGGTCCTGATCCTGAAACCAGTAGCAGGTTGTTGACAGGCCTGTCGAGTGCGGGACAATGTAAAGAGTCTGTAAATGTGTGATGACACGCTGGTTTGGTTTGTTATTCTTCTCACGGCTGTTTCGATGTGCCGTTTTCTGACACGGCTTCTGTATTCTGTGCCGACGCTCAATCCCCCTCCGGCTGATACCCGAGACGTGAGTTACCGGGGACTGGAGCTCTTCAACCTGGAAAGCTCTTCTCTTTTATCCGCCCTCCTCCTCCTCCTCCTCCTTCGCTTTTCTCTCCTCCAGAACGTCCTCTGGCTTCTAAAACCTGCTGTGTTTGTTTTCACTTAAAAGCGAGTGTGCATGTAAAGCAATTATTTATATAATAAAAGCATGGCCTAGATACAGAAATCATTGATATTCTGCACGCCCCTCAAGGTTATGCGTGCAGCGATGATGAATTCTGTCACATCACCTTGTTTATCGCACTGGAAGTGGAATTCCTGAGTTATTAATAGCTGGAGATGACATCACGCTCGACCCGTTCCCCGCAATGTCCCTTCACACCTAAGCATACACTGTAAAAATCACCTGACCTGCTAAATGCACGCTTGCCTTCTCTTCTGCCCCAGCGGTTGTCTTGGTAACAGCCATCAGGAGTCTAGAAATGACCAGCTGACCACAAGACAAAGACGACGGTCAGCTTGTAAAACCTGGCGCTGATGTGTATGGTGTCGAACCCTTGAGGGTCAAAATGACCCGACGCCCTTAAAATTATACTGATTTTTTAATTTTATTTTTGTCCAGAAAACTTATTTGATTTCATTTTGATATTTCTTTTCTATTTTTAATGCAATTTTTGGGGGATAATTTTTATTTTATTTACCTTTAAATGACCTTTGAGAACATTCCTCTCATTCGTTCACACTTAAATTCAAAATAACTCTCAATTTAATGCTTTTTAACCCTTTTAATTCGGCTCAAAATATCATACATTGGGTGTCTTTGAAAAAAAAATTTATTAACATGATATTTCATGACTCTAGATGGCCTTATGGCTCTATGAATCAGACAAGCTGTTCCACCGGGTCCTAAAGTCAGTTCACTTGAGTATGCATTCAGATACACATTTAGACAATATAAAATATTTTTTTGATAAAGTTTGGTAAAACTTCTCGGATCCATTCAATTTTTTACAGTCTATGAAAAGTGAAGCCAAAGTGTCTTGATTGCTCCCTGGTGGCTGGTCCCATTATAGGTCATAAACGCGGCCTCCCAATGAAGACTAATGTGAAGCTCAAAATACCCCACAGATATTTTTATATAGCATGTTAAAGTCACTTTTTGAAGGTTAGCAAAACCACACCGTTTTGTGTCTGGCCCTTTAAATGCAAACGAGCTGCTAATCCCGACACAGTGGGCGGAGCTTCAAGAGTGCAGCTGCGATTACCTCACGCAGACACACGCTAAAATGTCAGAAACTGTTCTGCCTTTTATGTTTAAACCACAGTCAGACAAAAATGGAGAGACTCAAGAAGAAGTGACAACATGTAGAAGCAACAGGACATCTCTGAATGGTGAGTTAATGAGTTTATGTTGCTGATGTGGAGTTAACTATCTTCAATTAGCATGTCTGTCAGGATAATCTATAAATTGCTTGTAAAGGGAACTTGTGAAAGTGACTTTCTATTGCGTGTTACAAGATGGATGCGACAGTTTGAGCAGACTCACAAATGTGCTTTACTACAACTCTTTCTCTTCACAACATGGACTGCGTGTCCCAGGGGCGGGTTTATGTACATTTTAGGGTCGATGTCTGGGAGGAAGCTCGTGTAGTTCCTACCAGCCGTTTGTTGTAGTCCTTAAAAAACGATTTCTTTAAAAGCAAATCTCTCCCTTTGCTTTGAACATTGAGCGTTGTAACTTTGCAGATGTTGTTTATACTCAAACAGCAACATAAACAACCACCCCTTTAAGTGTTCATTTTTTAAAACAAGTTTGGTCTTAGTTATTTGATGCTATAAAAACGGTAATGTGACGTCATGATTGACAGCTGTGATTTACAGTTTCTCTAAACAAAGTAGTCACCTCTTTTTTTACAGTCTATAATAGGCACCAACAGACTTTTTGGGAAATGAAGGGTCGTCATCCATATTTTTTACAGTTAAACCTAAACACACCACAGCTGTGGTAATAGCATCTGCAGGCCATTGCTGGTATATAGTGTCATCAGACTTGACAGGTATCAGCACTTACCCGTCCAAACTGAATTTCAAATGAACTGCTGTGTTTTTAAGCTATTTCTGGCTCGCTGTCAGCGTGAGGTTGACGTCTCAAAGCAAAGCGCCTGGTGTCAAACAAAAGGGCCTCTGACCCGCGCTCTGGGACCGTTAGCCCTCAGAAGCTACGACAACGATAGCATCTTTGTGGCTGCGCTCAAGCTGCTTATCAGTAATGTTGAACAGTGACTCATGTTTCTGTTGGCTGCTCGACCAAGCGCTAAACAAAAATATATTTACTGCTTTTATTCGTAATGTATTCTTCTTAAGCGATTAAACTCCTACAGTATTAGCATCACAACCAGTTTCAAAATGCAGGATTGTATCCCACAATGCAACGTACTCGACTTGACCTTTCCATTCAGTGTGACTGGAAGTAATTACAGCAACAATTCTGAGCATCTTTATTTATAATCGATCAAAATTGAGTTAAAACCCCCGAAATTACCCCCAAAATAGCTGCATTTATTTTCAAGATGCTAATCGGACACCACTTGTGTACAGTACGATGAGGTCATGAGATGAAAATGAAGCATACTTGTGTTTCAGTTGTTCATTTAGCAATATATTTCTATAAGTTTACAGTGTGTATAGTGTAAGCAGAGAATCAAGGTCATGAGTTTAAATATTAAGTAGCATACACTGCTGTTCAAAAGTTTGGGATTTTTTTGTTTTTAAAAGAAGTCTCTTCTGCTCATTAAGGCTGCATTTATTTGATTAAAAATACAACAACAAAAACATTGATGAAATGAAATATTACACTTTAAATTGATTGTTTTCTATGCAAGTATCTTTAAAATGTAATTTATTCCTGTGATCAAAGCTGTATTTTCAGCATTATTGCTCCAGTCTTCACTTTTTTTTAAACTTTCTGTTCAAAGAATCATGAAAAAAAGTGTTTTCAACATTGAAGATAATAATAATAAATGTTTCTTGAGCAGCAAATCATATTAGAATGATATTTCTAATGTTTAGAAAATTCAGCTTTGATCACAAGAATTACAGTTTAAAATATATTCAAATAAATAAAAAAAATAGTTATTTTAAATTGCAATAATATCTCACAATATTGCTGTTTGTTTTGTATTTTTAACCAAATAAATGCAGCCTTGGTGATCAGAAGAGACTTCTTTTAAAAGCGTTAAAAAAAAAATATCGTACAGATCCCAAACTTTTGAACATAACAACAAAATAAGTATCTAAAAAATTTGTTTAGGATAAAAGTAAGTGTCTGCATTCGCAGTGTAAGATCTGTTGAAAGCACTTTGGTTTGATATGCATCAGAGACTGTGTCAAGGGTAAAATTCTTGACCTTTCTCAGAGTGATCGGTCAAGATTATGTGGAAATGAGAAAAGAAGCGAAACACGAAAGTGGCTGAGAGTCACACTGGTGAAAGTTTGCATTTGTGACCTTTCAATCTTGCATACTGGCATCGAACTATAACCAAACAACAAATAAACACTTAATAAAACATGCGAGTTTCAGGTTAATCGCATTCAATTGCACCAAAAATGGCACCTTGTGGAATCTAAATGTTTTCAATTTGTTTAGTTTGTGATGTGACCAAAAAACTCGTAAAACGTTTAAAAATGCAGCAGAATTCAAACTTGAGTCTGGGAACCCCCTCCATACCAGATAAACCCGAAAATAAACCAAAGACATGAAGAAGTATTTTCATGCTGCAGTCTGCTGGGTTATTAATTTAAAAAGTCGCATCCTCATGCATTTTTTGGTCTTTTTTCTTTTTTTAGGGACTAGCCCTGCTTGCGCTGCCCCATAAAGCACTAGAGGGGGAGTCTTCTCTTTCCCTGCTATAAAATCCAGGATGTAATTGTAGCGTACTGAGGCAGAACAGGAGTAATCAGATCAGTCCCGAGGCTGGGAACATACATGGAGATTTAGCATCGCCACTGGATTAAACCCCCCACCACGTCCCCCCTTTACTGATTGAGGTACGATGAGTTCCTGCAAGTAGAGAGAGAGAGAGCGCGAGAAAAAGCCGTGAGAGGGAGTGGGAGGAAGAAAAAGGGAGTGAGTGAGCGCGCGCGAGAGAGAGGGAGTCAAAGCCAGGAAAGCAAAGCAACAACCGGTGGAACAGAAATGCAGGGAGTTTGAGAGAGACGGAGGCTGGCGGGACGACGGGAACAAAGCAAGGTGAGGGAGAAAGAAGGGCAAGGATCCAGAGGAAGAAAACACACCAAGAGGACCCTAGGAAGACTGAAGAAACTTTGCCAGATAAGAAAAACATCTGGTAATGACAAGGCCGGGACATTTAAAGACGGGACGTGTCCTCTCGAGAGTCCCATTCTTAGGCCGAAGAATGTTTTCCGAGACAAAAAGGACCGGAGAGCAGTGCATTCAACCCATTAACCCAACCCAAAATGGACCTCAAGCTGACCTCCTTGCCTGTTTTGGGAATGGGGAGCCTGTATCGAACACCTGCGGACCAAAGTTGCTGAATGGATACACTCCCAAGCAATGTCTTGCCTTCCAGGGGGGTCGACGGCATGACGTAACTGGACAAATTTGTCATAGGAGTGTGCGGTGGGATCGGCAACATAACAGCGTCTCTGTGAACTACAGCTTGAGAGAATGCAGCTTTGTAGGCCAATCCGAGACGCACCCCTTCTTGAGGAAGTGTGCTTTGGACACGCCAACACAGTTCAGAGGTCATGGAAACTGTGGAGAGCCTGTGTGTGCGGCGGACCAACAATCAGGCTCTGTGCGGCATGGACCAAACTGGATGGACGCGAGTCACAATCCCACCTTTAAAAGGGATTCAGAAATTTGCACTTCTAACGGACAGGGAGCTTTAAGTAGACGCCTCGGACGTGTAATGCAAGACTTGAACGGACCGAGTCTTGGCCGTGAGGTTATGGAGTCAACCAAAGATGTCAACAAACCCAATATTAAGTGCCAAGTAAAAGTTGCCCGAGTGGACCTCAATGAACCAGGACGAGGGGCTTTTAGCTCGGAAAGGGCAATTCGGGACCAGATCCAAAGAGTTGTTGTGAATCTCGAGGAGGTTTTGCACGGCCTGAAAGAGATACATCTGGAAATGAAGGAGGTAAAGGTTTATCTATCACTTGGGGATGATAACAGATGGTCTTCGTTTGGTTAAATCCCAAACTCTTTATTATCAATCCTCAAGTTCTGGATACTCTTAACGGCCGCACTTAAGATAACGCACGGACCATGAGTTTTGAGTTTTCATATTAATAATTAATACTGTTTATAGAGACCCCTGAATTTATAGCACATTGGGTAATTTCACGTCTGCGAGGGGATAGTTAAACTTTAATGCGGAGAGGATTGGTCTGATACGCTCCATTTAGCAAATACATTCAGTATCGGAGAGGAACGTTGGCTAGTGGTTTATGGTTCCCTCAGATGGGCGAGAAGAGCAGTTTCATAATCTTATAAACACTCTTGCGTGAGATGTGTGTCCTTGAACGAGTAAGTTTTGAATGAGTTTTCGTATACGAGTCGTATTCGAGAACTCGAACTCGTTTAATACGTTTCAAGGAACTATTTGCATTGAAGGGATAGTTCACCCAAAATTCATCAAAAACGCAAGATCTTTTTGATGACATCTGAGAGATTTACGTCTCTCCTTTGAAAGCTACGTAACTACCAGTTTTGATGCCTCTATAGAACCGAAAATTTGGACTAAACTGTTCAATTCATATGGATTAGTTTTACGATCTTTATATGAACGTTTTAACGTGTCAGTGTGGTAGTTGCGTAGCCTGTCAATGGCGCGACGGAAAGCTCTCACGCCTTGTCCTCACTAATACGAAATTCCTACCCTATCTCACGACCAATTCGTACGAGAGATTAAAAAGTGGCTAATTCGTACAACCTCACTCGTACGAGTTCATACGATTTGTCTAAACCCACGTGATGGTTAGGTTTAGGGGCGGGGTCAGGGGTAGGTCATTCGTACGAATTCATATGAATTGACCAATTCATAAAATATGTACAATTTAGCAAAATCGTACTAATTTGTACGAGTGAATTGTTACGAATTAGCCACCTCGTAAAATTCGTACGAATTCCCGTGAGATCGGGTTGGAAATTCTCAAACAGAGACATTTTTAAACAGCGCCACGTATTTTCGCACTATTCAAGAAAAATAAATTTATTTTATTTGCATATTTACCGCATATTAAGTAACTCTGCATATTCTTTGCCGTTAAGCAGATTAGCTAGTTTTACTTTTTTGAAGGATTTTTCGTTATACTGAAATGCGTTTCCGTTAGCATCTTTGCTCAAACACTTGAAATGATACTTAAGTACTTCCTCCTGTCCCAATTATAACATTCGTGTTAGTTAAGAGTTAGTTTAAAGTGTTGGTTTTCGTGCTGTAGTGTGGACTGTGAAAACCATGATGCAAGTTAAGTCATGTGACGCATATTGAACCCATATTCATGTTTATAAGTGCTAATCGCTTTCACACAGTTGCTAAAAGATGCTATTTTGCACAGTCCTGCAAAGATGACTCGCATTTGCCAAAACATGCATTTTTACACCAAAAGTTTAATCTCGATTGGTTTCGACCTGGGCGCATCAGTGAATGGTGAGATATTTAGCTAAATCCAAAAGAATTGCATGAGAACTTTAGGTTACACTTTATTTTAAGGTGTCATTGTTAGTGTAATTATATATTAATATAATACTGATTAATATTAATTAACAACATGTACTTACTATAGAGTTAGGGTAGGATTAGGATTTGATAAGTGCATGTAACATGTAACAAGGACACTGTAAATAAAGTCTATCATATCAGTGAGCTTTTATGAGGGTTTACACATGCGCTGTAAGGTCAATTTAGCGTTTTCTTCGAAACTTAGAAAACGCTAGTGTGGATGGAGAGTGTTTTGAAGCAAAAACTCTCATTTCAAATCTTTCCGTATACGTAGACGTAGCCTCAGATTTCATCAAAAAGATCTTCATTTGTGTCCCGAAGATGGCCGAAAGGGGGTTGGAACGACATGAGGGCGAGTAATTACTGACAGAATTTTTATTTTTGGGTGAACTAACCGTTTAACTATACGCCTTATCATCCCAGGTGGTCCAGAAGATAGACCTGCTGACGGCTGACATTGATATTTGCAAAGAGGAACAAAGCGACACTTTCAGAGGAAAGTCGGAAATGGAAGTGTCGTCTTCTCAAGGCGTCGAAACACCGACTCTATCGGTGTCCCCACCACCGTATCCGACCGGAGATCAGGAACCAACTCAGGAGACGGTCAATTCGCAACACGCATCAGGGCGCAGGAGCAAGAAGCCTCCTCCGTACCCCTACGCCAGTACAATAGGAAGAGTAAATCCCAAAGCTAAAGACAAAGTGCAGAAGACGCCGCCCTACCCCTTTAAACGGACACTGCTCTCGACCATTGTTTGAGCAGACCGTGGCTCCAGGATACCGAAGCGGAGCATCACTCGCCCGATGTGGTATAAAGGGTTACAGGAACGTTCTAGTAAGTTTTAATTATTTATTTATTTTTTTACTTTTGCTGATAATTTACTCGCCCCCATGTCATCCAAGATATCCATGACTTTCTTTCTTCTGTCGAAAAGAAATTAAGATTTTTGACGAAAACATTCCAGGATTTTCTCCATATAATGGACTTCAATGGGGTCCAAACGGTTCAAGGTCCAAATGAGAGTTTCAGTGCAGCTTCAAAGGGCTTTAAACGACACCAGACGATGAATAAGGGTCTTATCAAGCGAAACGAGCGCTCATTTAAAAAATAAATAAAAAAGTTAAAGTTTTATAAGCTCAAATGCTTGCCTTGCTCTGTTCTGAGACATAATTATAACATAATTGCGTATTACATGACGTCACGAACGCACATAACAGAGCAAGGCAAGCATTTGTGCTCATAAAACTTAAACTTTATTTATTTTTTAAATGAGCGATCGTTTCGCTAGATAAGACTCTTATTCATCGTCTGGTGTCGTTTAAAGCCCTTTGAAACTCTCATTTGGACCTTGAACCGTTTGGACCCCATTGAAGTCCATTATATGGAGAAAATCCTGGAATGTTTTCATAAAAAAAACAGACATGGACATCTTGGATGACATGGGGGTAAGTAAATTATCAGCAAAAAAGTGAACTACTCCTTTAATGTCCGGTAAAGTCCGGCAAAACCATGTAATGCCTTTTCGCTTTAGGTCGATAAAGAGGACAGAAATAATAAATCTAGAGCGTGACTTCTTAGAAATACTGTACGCAAGTCAAAGGTAGCGGGAGATTATTTCTAGCCTTAGATGACATCTGGAGTGGGATGCAATCTCAATTCCTATGATCTCCCAGCAAACCAAATCTGTAAAAAAAGGATTATTTTTTTATTGCTTTCCTAACTCTGGTCTAGTAGCGCTTGAAGTCTAGCCTTAAAAATATGATGTTCTCCGATACACGTCCTGAGGGTGTTTTAGCAAACTCACAGCGCTTCTCAACAGGTACTGAATGGAAACTAGGGTAAGCATAATATGTCTCCCTCACGTGTGCTGCAATGCTCATTTCAAAGCTTTTCCAGTCACGCTTTCACATTCATTGATTGCTCTTTACAACAAGGTTCATTAATGCATTACCTAACATTAAATATGATAAATACATTTGTTACAATTTAATTGTTGATATCTGTAAAATGTGAAATGTCACTATAGGCTGCCATTCAAAATCAATTGTTATCAAGAAATTATTTTTTACTAGTAGAAATATAATTTGATATCAATAATTACATTGTCACTAGTAAAAATGCGAATTCCTGATATCAAGAATTTAATTGTCACTAGTTGAAATGTCTATTCTTGATATCAACAATTCAATTGCTTCAATTATTGATATCAATTTATTTGATATTTAATTTTAATTGATATGTATTTATTTATATTAAATAAATACATTTTATTTAATTATTTATTCACATTCTTTAAATATTTATTTATTTTTAATTAATATTTTTTTACTAGTGACTGTTTATTTATGATATCACGAATGTGATCGTTACTAGTAAGAAAGCTATTTTAGATATCTGAATAAATAATATTGAAAATGAAAATTTGTACTAGTAGCAATTGAATTGTTGATATCAAGAATTCATATCCTGGAAGCGAATAAAAGTTAAAATAGCTTGCCATAGTTAGTAAATAATAAAATTAATATTAACTAAGATTAATAAATGCTGAAGTAGTATTGTTCATGTTCACTAATGATCCTGATTGTAAAGCGTTACCTGTTCACTTAGAAAATTGCTGACAATGAGGATCGTGCAGATACAAATATCACAATATGACCAGAATCTGCAAACAAAAACCCTTCATTTTCATTACAAAGATCCCCTGAAAAGAAATAGCGGACACATATGCGCATCATCAAATTGTGACGCGAGAAACAAAGCGTTCTGATAACAGATTTATTAAAAATTTCCAGGACATCGGCTATCAGAATAAAGCACGATCGGAAGTGTAACTGTTTCCCTGTTTTTTCCTCCACCACAGAAATAATCAAAGGACTCGGACATACCCCAAAGACTGCCGTGGGAATACTCTACAAGCGCCCGCTTAAGACAGTAAGTACAGTAAGAGCATAAACACACTCTTGATAATCACATTTGCAGGTATCAAGGCTGAAACCCTAAACCCATAAACGTTGCCAAGCATAGAAATCAGAAACGAATTTGATGAAGCCTTCATAACACATCACAAACATTTGATAATTTTTATTCCCCTTTGAAATTTGTCGTCTACTTCATTGGATGATCAGTCCAGTTCATGGCCATTGGCGTAACGCTGCCGCTATAGAAAATATGTAATATTTCCTATCATAGGAAGTTCCTGTGTCAAATAACCAACGTCCTCGCGCAATATGACAATCCTCTTTCGGATCGGCCAATCAGAGCTCATCGTGGCGTGTCCGAGCAATGACGAGGAGCTTGGAAAGCTCGGAGCGAAACTTCCCGTCTCTGTGGGTCACTGAAAAACAAGATGGGAATGATTAGCAACGTTCATATTCAGTGTTGCCAGTTTGTTTACCTATAACACAACAAAAACACCAAGGCCACATACATAAACACACAAAACATGGTGTATCTGGGCGTGTGAGTGAAAATATCTTATACAACAGACGTAATAAATATTAATCAATAAAAAAAAAACATACTGATGACAACAATAATAATGATGATGATAATACTAGTACAAATTAGACCCCAACCGATAAAGGATTTTGAAGGCCGATACCGATACAAATATTTCTGGGTTTTAAAATCCGATATTCCGATATATCGGCCGATATTTTTTTTTTAATTAAATATTGTTGGATTTCACACACACGTGTAAAAGAAAAGCTAACTTTTCTGCACAAGATACGTTTGATACTTTTTCTCTATGTCTAAATGTTCACTCCTCGCAAAGTATAACTTACATTTTACAATGCAGGGACTGTAACTAGAGATATGCTAGTTATAAATACAGTAATCATTACTTTATTTAGGCTGAAAAAGTTCATTGTGGTTTCCAAGCTCATTAATGCTAACGTTAGCGGTCTTCCACTGATGATAGTGGCATTAGCTAGCTTTGTGGTTAGCTAGTCTATGATTAGCAATAGATAACATCATACTGCAAATTGTAAAACATACATTTTCAATATAACAGGCCAAGGAGAGATGATTGAAGCGTGTTTCGTCCGTTTTTATTTTATTTTGAAATTATTCATTAATCGGCCATTATAACTGCCGATACCGATATTATGGAAAATGCCTAATATCGGCCGATATATCAGTCTGGCTCTAGTACAAATAAATAAATAAATAAATAACTGGAGGATGAGGAAGATATGATAATAAAGTCTTATATGATAATACAATAATAGTAAGACTAGTAATAGTAGTAGCAGCAATAATAATAATACTAATAATAAAAACATATTTTAAAGGGGACAAATCATGAAAATCTGCCTTTTTTTCCCAGAAAACATGAAAAGTGACAACCCAGTAACTTTGTATTGCTGAGCCTTTCTCTGCAAACATGTCAAAAAATAATCAGATCAGATTTCGCTCCCCTTATATATATATATATATATATATATATATATATATATATTAGAGCCAGACCGATATATCGGTAGGCCGATATTATCGGTCGATATTAGGCATTTTCCAAACTATCGGTATCGGCAGTTATAATGGCCGATAAATGTATATTTAAAAAATAAAATACAAACGGACGAAACACGCTTGAACCATGTCATGAGTGTTGGAGTTGTATAGTTTGTCCACCAGAGGGCACTCTACACCGTCCCTGTTGACAAGCTAAACACTCATAGGCTAGCTAACCATAAAGCTAGCTAATCCCAATATCATCAGTCTGTTCTGTTGTGACAATAAAAGAAAGTTTTCTTTTTAAAATGCATTATCATATTATTTTAGTTAAAACTAATAAATAACTAAAAATAACTAATGTTAGGGAAATCTGTTAATGTTTTGTTGCGCGTTTCTGAAATAAAAAAATATCGGCCAATATATCGGATTTTAAAACCAAAAAATATTTGTATCGTATCGGCCTTCAAAATCCTTTATCGGTCGGGCTCTAATATATATATATATATATATATATATATATATATATATATATATATATTCTAGGGCTGTGCAAAAATTAATTGCGATTAATCGCAACCAAAATAAAAGTCTGTGTTTACATAATATATTTGTGTGTGCTGTATATAATTATTTTGTATATATAAATACACACACATGCATGTATACATTTAAGAAAATGTGTTATTCATATATAAAATAAAATGTGTTATTCATATATAAAATATTTGTATTTATATAATATAGATTATGTATTTATAAATATATACAGAATTTAAGCGCAAATAATTCTTAAATATATACATGCATGCATAGGTATTTATATATAGAAAATAATTATATACAGCACACACACATATATTATGTAAACACAGACTTTTATTTTGGATGCGATTAATCGCAATTAACTTTTGCACAGCCCTAATATATTCGTTATGTTTTTGGGGTGAATTCAGGTTGATTGATACACTCTTTACTATTGAGATAAGTGTCCCAATCACCCTGAATTCATTGGGCAAGTAGCGGTGTATTAAGTGAGATCATGTCCGTGCATCGGGTCATTAACATAAAAATAAACCACTTAAGGGTAGCTTATCACCCTGGTGGGGTTTATTTTGTGACAATGCCCAGCTAACTGTGTATATATATATATATATTATTAATATTACGTCCTGTAAAAATGTGTCAGCTTTAAAATGTTCCATGTTTTCCACGTCTGTATGAACCCATCTGAAAGCAGTAATACGCTGACTCACCTGCAGACTCTGACACAATGTACTCTTCTTCTTTCAAAGCAACATCCTTCTGTCCACCCACGGCCGTCTGGGACTGAGAAGAAGAGAACGAGAGAGAGGATGAGCGACACGAGACATTAACGGAGAAGCCTAGAGGAGTGGGCTTTGATAACAGAGAGATCTCGTCTAAGAAAAACAAAAAGACACATGAACTTTTCGTTTTTGCACCAGGGAACAAGGCCATCGAGAATCTCAATGCGGTCTTGAATCTCAAAAGTCTTGATATGCAACACCTGTATAAAAAAGGGCTGACTGCTTTTGATCCGAGAGCGACGAGCGTTAGGAATCTGAATTGCGGTTTGATCTGCGGCAAATGTCAATGTCACGACTGAGGATAAATCCTACAAAACATTTTATGCGCAAATTAAAATCTATGGTCTATGAAATGCAACAACACATTAAAAGCAGGTTTCCTCGTATTGAATCATGCCTATTGCTGTGTGTTTCACTCATTGAGGTGGTGATGGATAGCTGTGATACTTACATATGCGGTGGCGTACTCAATCTTCGCTCCTTTTATCTCGGCTTTGAACTGGGTAAAAAACAAGTAGGACTTTCCTTGAGGCCTATCGTGAAAATGACAGAGAAAAATCAATATCGTTCCCTCTTTCATCTCAAGTTTCACCACGACGTTTGAAAACACTAGACTAGATTTGCTTGTACTTCTACTTTTTAGTATTGCATATTGAGTCGAGCTTTTTAACAGTGTTTTTAAAGTTACCTCCACACTGAACAGGAAAACATCTGTTCGTCGTCACTCAGTCCGACGCTCATTTGCCATTGCTACGGGGAATAAAAGCACAAAGGGTTTAAGTCAGAAACTGTGTATTATCTGAGATTATAAATAACAGAAAAGGTCTTACCTCGTTGGTTCCTCCTTGAGACGCATATGTGAAGGTGCATTTATACTTTTTCTAAAACAAGAAATAGATCATTGTGAATAGATAAACATGTTGAAAATGCCAAGCTTCCTCCCACGAAATATGCAAATTTCCCAGACTGATCTTTTGAGAATGACTCCTATTGAAAATATGCTGACCCTTACAAAAATAACCATGGTAACCATTGTTCCTGTCAAAAGCCTGACAGCTATTTTTACTGTCAGTTTATATATATATATATAAACTGACAATGACAAGGATTCTTCAGATTAAATATAGATTTACATTTGGTGCACGAGATACACATGGCCACTGGTGTCACACCTGACACAACTTGCGTTTCAATAATTGATATTTGATATAGGCACCCAAATTAAATTAAATAAAATTAATTCAATAGCTTTATGTGAGGGACAGACCAAAATATTACGCTCTGCTGTGGCTCTTAAAGGTATAGTTCACCCAAAAATGAAAATTCTGCCATAATTTAGTCACCCTCAAATCTCTATGAGTTTCTTTCTCCTGCTAATCACAAAAGAGGATACTTTGAAGAATGTTGGTAACCAAACATGATGGGCCCTACTGACTTCCATAGGTTTATGGAAGTCAACAGGACTGTCAACTTTTTAGTTAACTTACTGAAAGCTTTCAAAATACCTTCTTTTGTGTTTAGCAGGAGAAAGAAATTAATACAGGATTGAAACAACTTTAGGGTAAGTAACTGATGACAGGGTGAACTACCACTTTAATTGGGGTGGACTACCACTTTAAGAGCTAGAGCTCATTGATCTGTCCCTCACAACTGTCGAATGGCGCACAGGTGATATGGACGATATTTTTTCCTCGATTCAATTTTAGGGAAAAAAAACCTTCGGAACATCGTCAAAATACTGGGGTTTCAGAGACAACATTGAGTCATGCGGATTTGGAACGACTTGAGTGAGTAAATAATACTTTTTACTAACTAAAACTATTACTTTAACGTATTTTTGAGCCGTTAGGTGGCGCGCGCTGCACGTCCGCGCCTCCACAACAGTCCAATGAGAAGATGACGTGTGGATTTGCTTTCAAAGCGTCGCGGTTTTTCCAAACACACACAGCATCCATTCATTACTGTAGAGTTTAAAACGAACGCATTTTTAACAGATACGAAGTACATTGCATAGTTTCAAACGTAATAATGACTGAGAAGAACTGGGAAACGACACGAAATCGAGTCCGTAATAATCAATGAGGAAAACCGCGATAATATTCGTTTACGTTTCTATCCAACAAAACATGTTGTGTCATATTTATTACGTTGCTATTATTAATGTGCGTAATACTCACCAGTTTAGCTGAGAAAGTCTGCACAACTCCCCCAGGTTTGACGTCGAAGTCGAGTGTTTTGGTCCTTTCAGCGGAAGCGCGCGCCGCGCACAACACAACCAACAGTAGTAGAAGCTTCACACACGAGTTTATGTGATCATCGCATGCCATGATGCTTTATGTGGCAGAGATCTGTGTTGATGTTGTGATGAAAAGATGCCAGCACTGTTCCTGTATGTCCTTCATAGGATGGGATAGTTCGGTGTAGCGAGGTGTTGAGCATCTAGTGGACTGGAGTTGAATAACAACTCTACAATTTACAGTAGCCCAAAAAAATTGGCAACTTGGGTAATTTATATTCAAATGTGCATTTATGAATAACATTTTCATGACATAGCTTTTTGAATGTACAAAAAGATCATTGTCATTTCAAATTGTCCGATGATTGGAAGCATTAGATGTCTGTAAAATATGCAGTTAAATCCTCAAGGGTATATATTGCAACACAATAGTTGTCTTTCATTCGGGACGAATTGAAAAGAATCACGTCTTTGTCTGAACTGGAAACACACTGGCTCCTCTGTAACTTCTAATCCTGAACATTAACAATTTTACAGACTAGGTAATGGATTAATTGACTGAATCTAAATATAATTCACCATCAGAATGTGTCTGTTTTTCCTAACTAACACTTCTCAATGAGTACATTGTCAATGATTTAGTCACAAGCTTGTGTTTTGTTTTGTTTTTGACTACCCTTGAAAAATGCAATTCACAAAACACATTTGAATCAAATTTCCCCAAACACAGAATTATAATCACATTTTGCTAATTTTAAAACTTTTTAATTGAAGTCTTCTCCATTGTCAACAAGGATGAGTTTCCTTCTCACAAATGAATGTTTCTCTGTCCACAAATTCCACTCCGGCATTTCTCTTTCTCGTGTCATTTTAAACGTTCAGACAGATAGGAATGTTTCCGGGACGTTGTTGCACTCTCAGCACGTTTGGAGATCTTGAGCAAACTAAACTTTCATGACACTGACGTCTGGCTGTGCTGATTTGACCCCAAAGACCCATTTTCAAATGAGCCATGACCTGAACTACTTCAGAAGATCATATATATATGAACCAGTGGTTAAAAAAAACATGAACTAGTGAAATCGATTTATGAGTGGACTATAAAAATCTGCCCTTTCATACATATTTTATGCTGTCCACCTTTGTGAACCACTAGTATTTTATTGATCTTCTTTGACTGAAAATATTCATCATTTACTTCATGTAACTGAAACTTTAATTTGAGGGCTCCAGTGGGAAATTACACAAAATTACAGAAATAAAGACAAAAATAAAATATGATGAAAATGTAATTGAATACTTTTTTTATTAAAAAATTACAAAAGGTTAATAAGTTAGAATTTATTGGCATTGGATGTTAAGCTTTACCAAATATGTCAAAGTCATTTTGCTAGAAGAGTCTGTCGCGAACATAAATCCAGATAGATAAAAATAATCAAGTTAATGCCCAGTCGATCCACATGACAATGTGACTTTGGTTGATTTCAAGTACTGTATCAGTATCTGTGAAATAAATAAACATTATTAATGCGGCAGGAGTTTTAATAAGATTTCCGATTCCACTCTTAAACTCACCCTGTGATTCTGCAGTTGTGTGCTTGGACGTACGACCCCGTGTATCTGATGTCACATCTAACAACGTTATTGGAGAAGTCAGTCTCTTGCACCTGGAAACCTGGGTTCACGGTCACCTGTAAAGTGGATCACATGGTTTCACGATGCACTAAAAAAGAAAAGTTTTTCCTTTGCGTTTTTCGCATCAAAAACATCGTCAAAACGATCCCCTTTCACACTGATCTGTGAAAACGACTAAAAACGTTGTATTCTGCCAGGCCAGTAGATGGCGATATCACTTTCTAAAGAATTTGAAAATTTTCGTAAGCGTTTTTTCGTATCCGAATATTTATATGATGGGCGAAAGTTTCGGAGACATTGTGTAAATTGACAACGTATGGGCGTTGATCAACGTGATTGACAATGTATGGCCGTATTTATTTATTTTTTGGTGCAAAAATTTAGGACGATAATTTCGGACTTTCACAAATTCTCATTTTGTAGTTTACACAGAGGCAATAACGGCATACTTTTCAAAAATTTGCGTTTTCAGGGCCACAAAACTGTTTTTTTTTTTTTAGTTGAAAAAGTTGTGTAAACGGCGACTACGTAAATAATCCAATGACTCACCTTTAGAACATAATCTCCAGGAGAAACATCGGTAACATCAATCCACTGACAGTCGATGTTGGCGTGGTAGGTGTCATAACAGCCTGGGCTCAATCCCTGCTCCACCAAAGACAAAACTTTCTTAACTGGCTGATAAAACAGCTTAATAGTGGAAAAAATAAGACATTTTGCATTGCCATGAGTGACATTATTCTCCGCACCTGTGTGTGAGCAGTGCAGGCGTATCTTCTCCTCACACCTGGATCACAGCTGGTGTCCTCCAGACAGAAACTGGCTTTATGACCCTCAGCCACTTTTTTGCCCGTGGAGGCGTCCAGGAGGTCGTAATTGCTGAAGGCATCCATGCTGTGATAATGTCTTATGATGAAAACAAATATAGTAAAATAATCACTTTGTTATCAAAAAATTAATAGAAGAGTCATTTTTAACTATATACTTTGAGTTTCTTTAGCTAGTAACGCCAACGTAAAAAAATAAAAATAAAAAACGCAAAGCATTTAAAGTCACCCTGTGGTGAAAATCCAGTTTTCAATGTTGTTTATATGTCCATGTGGTGTTTTTAATACATTTTAAGAGAACCCATGTGTAAATTCATAAGTCGACAGAATTGCTGAGTATTTTCTCCTTAAAACTGCAGTGAACCAAAGACAGTCTCAAAAACACGGTTTGAAATCGCTGGTGTTTCTGACGTCACAAACGACCTTGTAACCAATCAGAATCAACGTGTGATCGCCAACAAGTGGATCTCTGAGCTGAGTGAGTTGAGGCGGGGCTTATTTGGATATTCATTGAGGCAAGGGTGTAGAGTTACATTCAAGAAATTTATTTCAAGGACAAAATGTTTAAATATGTAATTTTGGTGATCAATGATGAGTTTTAAGGGATAAAATAATTGACTAAAGGGGGACTTTAACAAATATGCATAGGTGTAAGTATGTAACGTTCTAGATTAGAGCATAAAATTGTCAGGAACCTACTGATGGCAGCTGTGCCATTCCCACTGATGATGAGGTTTCACAGGGAGAAAATCTGCCGTGCCTTGATTTCTGACCCTCTGAGGAAATCGGAGAAGCACTCTGTAATCAAGGTCCCTCACTCTCGCACCGTACGCTGAACTTGAGGGAAAAGGCAAATATTCAATTTAAAATGGTCAATAAAAGTTGTATTTTCTATTTTCCGAGTCAGCACCTGGAGAGACAGTCTTCTTCTGCGGCACATCTTAATGTGTACATCTGCACTCTCTGGATATAAGATGCAGCTTGGATATAGTGTGGATCAGGAATGAGATCAGGCAGTCCTGGAAAATGTTATTAGTCTTTAATTTAAATGTTCAGACTATAAAGAGAAACAAATTTAATACGCTATATTCAAATGCAGTTTAGAAACCAAAATAGCCTCAAAATTGTATCTCAATGCTGTCTCTATGATGAATAAATGAGGTCGTTTGTCATTTCAAATGTTTAACCAAGGTAGGCCTATGTAAACACCGTTTCAGTATTTATATAAACCTGAGGTAATCATAGCAACAGTAACGTTACGTTTTTCATCGGGATTCGACACAATATATTAGAAACCAGGACAAGTCACTTACGTATAAGTTAACATCATAGTAGTGGTTAAATACCGTTTGTGTTTTAAAATGCTGATTTCTGGCCAACAGTTGGCGCCAAAAAGACGCGCGTGATCAGCATCAGCTCGCGCCGCGAAAATGTACTAAAAATTACTTTAATGTCGACTGACATGGTAAAATTGGCACATTGACTAAAAAGTTAAAATTGTTGTTTTACCATTATGGAAATACTTTGTACCCTGACCCGTTTGTCTGTGAGGAAATCTATTGGCGCTTCCATACGGGAGCAGATTAAAGTAGAAAGAGTTCCTGCTGTTTACGTGATGATTCGATGGTTCATCGCCAGTCATTGTTTCTCCTCCTCTTTCCTCAACCTGGAAGGGAGGATTTCCCATATTTCTGTTATTAACATATGCTGAAGGTGAAGCTGAATTGGTTCTTGATGAAAGTTTAGAGTTATTAGCAATTTTACTCCGAGTCGAAGTGGAAAGTGGAAGCGGATTCTCCTCAATATTGATAGTGGGTGATGTTCGTTTTGGGGTTTTTGTAAGTGTGTTACGGTGTCCTGGTGCCCTTGAAGCTTTTTTAACAGGTGCCAGTGTAGGTTGTTCAGTTGGGGCTGCTGTCCTGTAGAGCGTAAACTGGGTCTGCAGTGCCTCATCTGAAGAAAGTGCAGTTCTTTTTGCATGCAAAGACAACTGATTATTCCTCATATGAGATGTACCAGACATGTATTGTCTTGCATGATCCATTCCAGGACTGTGATCTGGCACTGAGTTTGAATGGACCACATGCCCAACTCTGTGCATCCTATAATTGGCGAAGCGTCCCATGAAAATCCTACCTGTTGGCATCATGTGCCTGGTCAATAAGACTCTTGTATGTTTTCCAGAAACAGGTGTTTGATATTGTGAACCGGTGCCCAGTAAACTGTAAATCTGTCCGTTAGTTTCCCACTTAATCTTGTGTCTCCAGGGTCCATTACGCTGCGCGGTGCTAAAACACACCAGGACGCACAGGTTTATGAAGGAGAAGAAAATAAACAAATATTTCTTCATTTCGAAATGTTTGGACCAGGATGCAATAGAAAGTGTGGCGCTTTGTGCTCCTCAAAGCTGTTAAATATAAGAGCCCATAGGTACAGATGAAGGCGGTGCATTGGAGGCGTTTCTCTACAAACTTTCCAACTTTTTCCTCTTGAAAGTTTCACATAGACACACCACACATTAACAAATGGGGTAACACTTTACAATAAGGTTCATTATTTAGTTAACATTATGTATTAACTTACCATGAGCAATACATTTTTTACTGTATTTATTCATCTTTGTTAATGTTAGTTAATACAAATAAAACTGTTTGTTTGTTTCATTAACTAACGTGAACAAGATTTTAATAATTATTAAATGTTGAAATTAAATTACTAAATGCTTTATAAATCCAGTTTTTTATTAGTTCATGCTAACTAATGAACCTTATTGTAAA